TTATGGTTGCGTGGTATTTGCGATACGGGTATACAGTATATGCCATACTCACCTGCAGTTTATGGCATATTCCGCAGGTGAGTATGCGATATTCCGTCGTGAATATGCGATACATTGATTTCAGTGAATACCTGATAGTCACCTGCAGAATATGTCATACTCACTTGCCGAATATGCCATATACCGCAGGTGAAAATGACACAATGATTACCCGTTTGTTCAATCAATGCAATTGACAATTGCGTACTTCCGTATCGTGTTCTCATTGCTTAGTGGGTATGCAATATACTGCAGCTGAATCTGCCATACACCGCAAGTGAATATGCCATATTTATTGCAGAATATGACACATATTTGCATCATATTTTCCGCGTAACACGTGCGTTTAACATAACCTACGATTAATTGTTAATGATGAAATTATTTGATTATTCTTATTTCGGACTCATAATCGGATGATGTACTCCTTTGTTACTTACATCTAGCAGTTGATCCATAAATTGCCTTTTCAAACGTGTGCGCCCTTGCTGCTGAATCCTCTAAGGTAGTAATAAACTGAACTAAAGTACAATGTAACTTCAGTGAAATATAAATATATATTGCATACAAAGAAGAACAAGTTATTTGAAACTTGTCAAAAGTCGTGGAATGGATTTAAATCTTCTCTTGGTAAATTTCTCGATGGAGTCAGGCCGAAATACATTAAGTGAAATGGTTTTATTGGAATCATGCTCGTAGCCAGTTTTTGGTAAGGAGGGGGGGTTGCTCGAACCGATAATAACAATGACAATGATATATGATATATATGTGCTCTGTAGAGTATCAATAATTAATATATTTATGACGTTGGCTACAGTCGTGGCAGATTTGCAAAGTCAAATCGGTCTTCACTCCAATTTAGAGAGCCACTTGCTCCTGATTTCAGCGGGACCTCCTCATGTTTTCAGCGGGGCCTCCTCATGTTTTCAGCGGGATCTTTAGTTTATTGCTCATGGTAGAAGCGGGGCCTCAGGGGATATGCTAAATTTGAAATATATAATTTTTTGTGAAACTTTAGGAAGTGAAACTCACAATACCTTCATTTCATATTACTATGACCATTTCAATTGAAGGGCAATGACCTTCTTCAGCTATAAAATATAGAAATATATAGATAAAGATTCAAGATGATACATTCTCTCTCCAATTATCGAATAACAAAACTCAGAACATCAGCTCGTGATCCTTTTTCGCAGAAGTTGCTTTTTAGTATCAATACCATGTAATAATTGAGTAAAATTAAATGAAAACGCTTTTTACAACATACAATTTAAGTAAACAAAAGATAACCCTTCTTTTCTTTTAATTGCTCGCGATTTCAGCGGGTATTTGCTCGCGATTTCTAAATCATAGCGGGGCTTTAGATACTACCCGTGCTAATGACATCTTATATGAGTGTGCTGTACTAAAAGCATAGCCCCATTGGATCCCCTTATATTGGATTATCATAATCCTAATCCTCGAGGAGTTCCTTATATATTTTAAGTGATGAAACATGTGTTCAAGTACAATGTAACTTTGCATGAAAATTGTAAAAAAAATGAGGGACGATGGTGAAAATGACGATTGTATTTTGAAAAAAGCTTGTTGATGGGTGGATTAAACATGGCTTATGAGATAATCCAATTGATCTTGAAACCATTCTTTGAATTTTTCTTAAAGATTATACATTGGCCTTTCATATGCATTCATTTTTGTACAGCCAGAAACTACTAGAAAAAAATTATTTACTGTCAAAAATCTGTTGCGATACTTTCCCTCGCTCTTTTACAGGCTTATGCCTTATGGATGCAGGACTTCTGCTCATGAAAGCAATTTTAACATGGCTACTCTGTTAAAAGTGACCGCCATATCCGTAAAAATGTAACCTTTATAATTTAAGTACCAGTTTATAGATTTGGTTAAAATTCCATGTGTTGCTGCCTAGGAGCATTGAAATAATACTCATGAAGACATTTTCAAGATAGACTATGGTTTTTAAAATGACCGCCATTTTTCATAAATAATGTAATCTTTGATTACTCAAATATAAGTAGACAAATCTTATTTAAATGTTATATAATGCTGATGGCCTAGGGTCATGAAAAGTCCGTATATAGTAATTTTCAAGATTGCCGCTCAATTCAAAACTGCAACAATTTTGTGTAAAAAAGTATTTGATAACGCAAATGCCAGATGACGTTTCAAATCTGTGACAATGCTTAGTAACAACGAAGCTGAACTCAAGAAGAATTTTTTAAGATGGCAGCTGACTTTCAAAATGGCCGCCAAATTTTGTAAATAATGTAAGTGTCATCTTCAATGACTGAACTATTATTAGTGGACGGATTTGATTCAAATTGTTAATGCTGATGCCTTGGAACAAAGGACTTTTGCTCAATAAGATATTTATAAAAGGGCTGCTGAATCTCAAAGAATGGGTATCGATATGGCGAACTTTTTGAACACACGTTTCTCTTAAACCAGTCATCAAAGAATTCTGAAAATCTTACAAATTGTCAATTTAATGGCCATCTTTTAAATGGTAACAATATAATTTGAAATAAATATACATACTTTCATCTATATTGTTTTAAAAAACAAATCAAACACTTGTTTTGTTCTTGGTATCATGTTTCCAGAGTGAAATGAAACATCTTTCCGAACCTCATTGGAACAAAACGACATAAACACAACATGTTTAGGTCTTTCAATATTGTAATTGTACAAAGGAAATTTTGGTTGATTTTAAAAAAGTATCTTGTTAATGAAATAGAAGGTTTTTCTTGATTTTTATCTATTTTGGCGGGATTTTGTTTTAATTGTTTGAATACTTTTTTAAATCAACCAAAGATTCCTTTGTATAACTTTGATATTAAGAGGTCTTAAAACATGTTGTATATGCTATTTTGTTCCAACAAGGTTCGGAAAGACATTTTATTTCATTCTCAAGAATTGGTAGAAAGGAGCAAAAACAATTGCACTAAAAAACAAAAAATGTTACCAAAAACAGTTATATAAAATATTTGTAAATACATTTCGCATTAAATTGTTGTCAATCAGTCAACATTACATAAAATATCATGTTTTTTACAGAATGTTTTCAATGATTGGTTTAAGAGAAAAACATTGTTGGATTCAGTTCTCCATATCGATACCTATTCATTCTCGTTCCTAAACCAGCAGCTTTATAAACTTTGGAGCAAATATGGCAACTCATTTCAATATGGTCTTCGATTTTCATTAAAAATGTAATGCTTGTTAATTCAAATAACAATTGACAGATTTGCTCCTATACTCGAATACTATCTTTCGAGCGTCTGTCTCGAAAGCGGATGGTATTGGGTTTGATTCTCGCACTGTGTATCTAGAGGGATATCTGGCTCGTTACACTACAGTTCCCCGACGGACGTGCCAAAAGGTCGTTACAATAACTTCAATGTGCGTGCCAAACCAATACTTGGCCAGTGTTGCGTATGGATTGAACACGAAATGGACATATTGATTTGATTGGCCGCCACAAAAAACGCAGAGGCGAACGCAAAAACCACTAACAGGAAACAAAACGTGCACCAATTCTTAGTCATCACAGAAAGTTTGAGACATAACACTTTAAAATCAGTAACATTTTTGGCCCACCCTGTACATGTAGTACTTATTAAAGGAATCAACGGAATTGATTATAAAGGAACGGTTATTTAAGATGCCTCTGTTTAAAATATCAATAATATATTCGAAGAAAAACATGGTTAGAATAACAATGTATTGCTGCCATATTATATATCTTGGGGTAGACTAATTTTGGCAGAGCCTGTTTGATCTTCAAACGTTTTCACATAGGAGGTCATGTTTGTCTCGTCTAGGTACCTTTTAAAGTAATGAAATAAATGTGCATGTTACCCTTCTTTTATGTCTACAGAGTGTACCAAAAACTTTACCCACCTAACAATGAATATCTCTTTAACCAATACAGTTTGATAAAAGATGCTTGTACAATTAAAGTTAGTTCATTTTTCTTCGAGTTGACAAAGTTTCAACACTATAGCAAGTGTATGGTTATCGAACAAGATGAACTGAAAACGTTGGTGCACTGGAAACGGATACGAGTCAGATTGAATTTATTAATTCTGTAGCTCGCTCCAATCCGTTTAATTAGTATTTTAATGGCTTTTGTTAATATCGAGATTCTATGATATTATCATTTTTCCTAAGAGTTGGAAGATATTTTCAGTTTTAGATGATAGGATTTTGATCAATTTGGTGCATGTGTGGTATCATAAACAGTCCAAATAAAATAATCATCCTATAGTCAATTTTAACCCTGCCTGTTCCAGCAAACACACTGATTAGAATTGGGTAGTATAAGATACCACATTATCCTGCGCTTAAGAGATGTCGCACATTGAATCTTATTTAGACTCCTCGTTTTGTCTATTGATCCGTAAATGTGCTGACAGTATTCGTTCGTTTTAAATAATAATAAGGGTTTTCTAAATGGTGGTTGCATCAATGTTTTGTTGTCTCCCCTTTTCCATTCAAAGAACAAAGGATCGGATTGAGTGTGGCAAGTGATTTTGCACAGTCACGTCTTTCACCATGAGTACTTTCTGGCCATACGTACAGTGGTTTTTATTAAAAGAATATCTTCTTTTTTTGAAGAAGTGTAAGACCCCTTTTGGATGATGTTTTCATGCAATAAAAAACAGAGTAGGGAGATCCTCTCTTGAGTAAATAGGTTCAATAGGGTCCCTATTCATAATTTTTCGAATTCTTCGATTGATATTTTTAATATCCTTCAGAATTTAATTGAAAGATAACATATTGTGTTAATGAAACATGTCATATTTATATTGGGAATGTACTCTAAGTGAAAAATATGACCGTCTAAAACCACTTGCTATACTAAACCTGGTCCTTTAAAGATATGTTTAAAGATATGACCTTTGACGTGTTGGTCGCGCCATCTATATACCTACACCGTATGACATTGCATGCAAGCAGACGACAAGCAGGCGATCACAACAGCTGACATGATGGAAGCTTTAACAAATCTAATAGAATGGAACGATACAAATCTTTGGATTGTTCTATTTATTATGCCTTTCAATCCGTTTTCATGGGTTGTGGTAAGTTAATAGTTCAATAGTTTCCAGTTTACTTCAGTGTAACTTTTCAATGGTATATACTGATTTTGAAGAACACTTAATTCACTTAGGACTTATTGGAATAAGATGAAAATATTTCACCCTCAACCTAAAATCCAACATGACTCTTTAAGAATAATCTAATTTGCATTTTTAAAAATTGTATATATTATTTCTTTGTTTAAGGGCATAGAAACGTTATAAATATAATGTGATTTTTTCAAACAAGATCAGCGACTATATTTTTAATGTAAAAGAAGCATACAGCCCTTGTGTTTGCATGTTATATCTCCTTCTATGCCAGTTAACAAATCTATAGCAGAAATATATTATTTAATACATTTGAGTCAGATTAGAGACTCGGCCTTTTTATTAACTTTATTACCACGGATTACGTTATGTATAATTTATTTGCATTATATTTTAGGTCGGTCGTTGGGAGTATCACACGAGGTCACTAACGAAATTCTTTGGTAGTAAATGGATAGCTTGTTACTTGAACGGGGCAGTGATACTCGTACTAGACTGCTATAGAGATATGAAGTAAGGATTAAGTACTATGAACCATTACGTAACATACGTTACTTTGCCTTACCTTCAAGTTAAAAGTTCTAACAGGTTACTTCTCTGAAATAAAAAGTATATAAAAATGAAAAGATCTTTTTCATTAACGTTATCTGTATTGTTCTTATTTTGCAACACTATTTAAATATCTACAAGCTTCCCTTGAATTGGGATAGCTGCACCATGTTTTACTGATGAAAATCCTATGACCTCCACTTTATAGTTGTATGAGTAAATTGCTATCAATTCTGTTAGATAATAATAAGCTATTTATAGTTTAAACTCCGCATGTTTATATCATTATCGCAATTGTATAGTGAGTACAAAGAAATAATAATATTGGATTGAAGTAGGTGACAGTATGTTATCTGCAATATTGTCATCACATATTATACTTCAGTGAAAGTATAGAGAAATGCTTAAAATATCACGACATTGAAAAGGCATTTGATTTTTAAACTTGCAGGATTCATGAAAGGCATTTGATTTTTAAACGTGCAGGATTCATAAAAGGCATTTCATTTTTAATCTTGCATGATTCATAAAAGGCATTTGATTTTTAAACTTGCAGGATTCATGAACTACTTGCCGACCAACCAAAATGGTCTCCTTTACAGAATGAATTCTCCTTGTACATTGGTTATGTCATTATTGCAATTGGTTTAGTCTTTACATTATCTGGATGGTATCAGCTTGGATATACCGGTGTACTTCAAGGTACCAAATTTAAACACGCTAATAAAGACATTAAATATTACCTTATTTAATTGTTACATATTTTATCCTTTTTAAGTAATGATTATTTCATTATTGTATTTACGTTACCTTCTCTCAGTCATTCAATAAGTATATCTAGTTTATCAAATTAGCATTTCATTAAAAAAAATCTGATGACTGCTTCATTTTAGGTGACTATTTCGGGATTCACAAAGAGGAAAGAATTACAGCATTTCCATTTAATGTTCTAAATGATCCTCTTTATGTTTCATTTGACATAATGGCTCTTGGCTTGGCATTTACGTAAGTAGTTACTTTTTCAATTATGATATCTGAACTTTCAGTTGCATAGGGTTTTCAGCACTAAAACGGGAATCTCAAAACATGTTAGTCACACAATATTATTCAGTACATGGGCTACCAGGCTATAGATATTATTTTTAAATAAAGATGGCAGTGTAATAAACCTGTTTATATATCTTAAAGTGAGAATATAATAAAGTTCTACCACTGCTGCCATCTTTGTACTGGGCTTAAACCTATATTATGATTAAGTGCCTCTTTTTTGCTTTAACAGAAATGCTAGCTTCCTGGGGTTATTATTAGCTGTATATCAGACGATCATCATGCACGTCACGTGCCTTGCAGAAAAGTAAGTTAAAGGCAGGGCTCCACTATAAAAGCAGAATGTCAGTTAGAAAATGATGTAATAGCATGTTTGAAAATTTAAATGTCCACAGAATCTGACACCTCAGACCTGTTTTTCCATATATCCCTAGTATTTTTGCATGGAATCAGCTAAACTTTGTCACAGTTATTCATGAATATATTCTGAATCTGATGGTAGTTTTAAATTTAAATAGTAGTTCCTATCTGGCTTGAAAATGTAAAGTAATATATAAAACTGTTATAGCAGTTATATAATAAGCTGCATCAAAATTGGGTTGTAGTTAAATTTACCACATGGTAAGGAATCCCTGCCTTTAAGTTCTGAAATTACACCGGATGAAATCGAATTGGATATTTGTATCTCCATGATCTCGATGTACGTTTATCAGCTTTGGGTGACATCTTTCAAAAGAGTTTCGGCCTGAATCCGTTTCTGGTAAAATCTTGTGTTTAAATCATTGTTAAGTTACTTATTTGAGTAACACAAGTTTAGACAACGTCTTCACCTAGGACAACTGCAATCTTAACGAAACGGTGTTGAATAAATTGCTTAAATAAGCGTGTATATTTATATTAACATCGACAAAGACACTAGAATTAATCATGAACATATCTTAAAAAATAATTGCGATTTTTCTCCTCGACATATTCCATGGTATAGTTTTGTGTCATTAACGTTCATTTACTGATTGTATTATTTCCAAAGGTGTGATATGTACATATTTCAAAATTGTGTACTGTATTTGTTCTCATTTTGAAAGCACATTATGATCTAATCTCTTTTCATAATCCTATGTGGAGTTTTTAGCTCAAAATGTTACATTTTCTATCTGAGTTTTATTTGATTCCAGTCCATTTACGACAATGATTTATGTGGAAAAAGCCAAACGGGACAAAGCTGCAGCAGACGCGAAAATTCAAAATGGAGACAAGGATGTGCAAGCAAATTACAATCAAGCTACAGGGTTGAAACAAAGAGGTTGAAATAACAAGCCATAGATAAATAATTCTATGTACTGAAAGAACACAAACTCCTATACAAAAGTTTGGGAACCTTTTCCCATTCAATTGCATGTTAATTGGGCCTCCTGCCGAAAATGAAATCAAGTTATATGATCATTATTAAAATAAGCCCAACTCTCAATGTTTTTTTAAAGAAAAATACTCAAACATGTAGTTCAATGAAGGTTTCCAGGTATCTTAATGTTTTGAATGGAGTCTTGGACATACTTAGTTAATACAAGGCAGTGTTAACAAAGTGCTGTTTTCGAATAGTTGGGTGACTAGATATGGTGAAGCTCATACGTTCAAGAACGTATTCTAGTTTCATGTCTGGGAATGATATAAAAAACAAAGAATATGGTGTTAAAATCTGCAATATTGTATCGTAATATAATGGAATTTTACAAATAGCATTATTATTACATGAAACATGCGCTTGACTTAAAAATAGACATACGAGACCAAAAATGTACTATAGTAGTATTAAATTCAGATCTGTGGAAACGAGAATTACGATTTATCAACTGGATGAGTTTTACCCTTTTTTGCTTATGTCTGAGTAAACAACATAATATGCAGCAAAATAAACCCCCTCAAAAAGTATGACAATCCTAACGCCAAATTGAAGAGCGTGTTCAAACATGTTATAACTAGCTGAATTTGATTTTTCCTGAATAAAATGAAATTTTGAAAGTCACCAAAACTGAAGCACATGCTCCAATGAGGGAGTTAGGCTGCCAACGTTAAAGAGAGGGTGCATTGATATTTACCCATGGAATAACATACTAAGTTTGCTTTTCGTTCCAGATAATACCCTCAATTCTACGAATGTTGTTATTTGTAATACAATATGTAAAATAAAGCTTCGTTTATATCGATACTGTAACTTATAATACCTTACATTACATAATAAATGTATATAATATCTATATTTAATATATTAATCAATTTGATATCGCGTCAACTCCACGGAGTAGCAAATCCCACCGAACAAAACATATTTTGATCATTAGTGCCCGTCAAAATTCCTTCTTGAGCAGAGCTTATTTGTCCCCAGGCATCAACATATAAAATGTAAATCATATCCGTCAATTAACATTTGAGTCAAAAATTACATTCTTTTTTACGAAAAGTGGCAGCCATTTTGAAGTTCAGCCGCCATTTTGAAAATCTTTCTCGAACAGAGCTACTGTGTCCTTAGGCATCAGCATATAAAATTTTAACAAAATCCATTTACTGCTATTTGAGTTATCAAATATAACATTTTTTACGAAAAATGGCGGCCATTTTAAAATTCAGCTGCCATCTTGGAAATTCTTTGTCAGACAGAGGCACTGTGTCTCTAGGCATCATCATATAAAATTTGATCAAAATCCGTTCATCTGTATTTGAGTTATCAAAGATTACGTTTGTTTACGGATATTTTGCCGCCATTTTGATATTTAGTAGTCATTTTGAAAATCTCTTCTTCAGTGTAGCTCCTTTGTCCCTAGGCATAAGCATATAAAATCTGAACCAAATCCGTCAATTAGTATTTGAGTTATTAAAGATCATGTTTTTATGAAAAATGGCGGCCATTTTAAAATTCAGCACGCCATTTTGAAAATTCTTTCTTATACAAATCTAGTTTGTCGCGAGGTATCATCATGTAAAATTTGAGCCTAATCCGTTCACTGGTACTTGAGTTATCAAAGATTACGTTTTTTAACGAAAAGTGGCCGCCTTTTTGATATTTAGTAGCCATTTTAAACATCTCTTCTTCAGCATAGCTCCTTTGTCCCTAGGTATCAGCATATAACATTTGAACAAAATCCGTCAACTTGTATTTGAGTTATTAAATATTGCATTTTTTACGAAAATGGCGGCCATTTTGACTTAAGCAGCCATGTTGTGATTTCCTAAAATTTGAATCAAATCCGTCAACCGGTATTTGAGTTATCGCCTGGACAAACAGACCGGCGGACGGACGAACGGACGTCATTTGTTAATGCTGCATCAGTGTGGACGGTCGGTTTTCCTATATCCCCCTCGAACTTCGTTTGGTGGGATAATTAAACATACAAGTGATAGTACAATGTATTTCATACAAAATAGATGAATGAGCGACCATGTTCAAATCATTATGCAATTATGCTCAAAATAGACCAGCGTGAGTGTTAAACTTACACGTGATTTCCCAAAATATGCACCTACTTGTTAGGTTTGAACATTTATAATTAAAATTTGGAATTTTAAAATCAATGTTCCGTTTTAGCTGTTGAGAAGTTATACATCAGAAAAGGTTTATTGGATGAATTATCACATCTTCGGATGTTGACCTTTACTCTGGAGTTCGAATGTATAATGCCACTTAAGGTTTGCACTCCCACAGCTGTACACGACACCATTGATTATATAAATATTAAAATATTAATCGTTTTGATTAAATCAAATGTATTGACATGATAAACTAGTATTATAGACTATATAAATAGTAACATAACAATCAGACTAACACCCTAACAATTGAAAGCATATTAAGTTTAAGCATTTACTTCGTCTGTTTATACAAATAAATTAATTCGTGGATCAACTGATCAACTGATCCACCACGTGAGACAACTCAGTGATTCGCAAGAGCACTTCCGCGGGTTATAGTCCATGGTATGAAATTATTGGATGCCTAATTAAGGAGCTAGTAACACAATATAGTGCAGCGATATTTGACCTAATATTTACATACCTACACATGTCCAGTACTGTTTGTATAATAGTCGTTCAATATTCTTCGGGCTTTTTGGCTGAATTATGCGTATCATTGGCAGGGTTCGAAAATAGTAAAAACGAAATCCCTCTTCTTTTTACAGTTTGGAGTACATCCTGCTACAGAAAAGTATAATTATGAAAAAAATTGATGTTGTTTTTCTAATAAATACCCCAAAAATAACTAAATCAGCACATCAACATTTTGATTTATTTTTTCAATATTGGTGGTGTAAATGGTATCAATGAATCGTTTTTATATAAGAATGAAATATGCTAAAATTATTAGATATTTTCGAAAGATGGGTCTTCATACGTTTTGGGATATGGATTGACACCGTAAGGGGTCAACGATCAATAAAAGGGGGCGTATTGCTCTTCATTGACTTACTGTGGCTTCGGCTAAAATTATTTTGCCTCTGGTTAGATATTGCCCAGTTGTTTATAAAACAGCCACCAAGACCTGGCCGGATTCATAAAGCTTTGAGAAAAATGGTTTTGATTTTCACCAAAAATCTGCTGACAGCAGTTTTGTCTAAGAATATATAACCATCAGAAAATCTGATGATATGCAGCGGAAAGAAACATGTAAGGTGTTTGATTGCATATATCTCTTATACACAATTTGACATGAAAATCTAATATATTTGAAATTATGACTTTTTCAAATAACTCAAATAATTTTGTCGAATTTGCTTGACCAATATTTGAAAAAAATAAACCAAATAAAACAAGTGCATTTATGTAATTACACTTATTAACCACAAGACATTACATTGAAATTAGAATTAATTTTGACAAAATGATAATCCACTTTATTGTGAATGTTCTTACATTAACGCATTGAGTCTTATAAAATATGTAAAAATTCGATTGAAAATATTTACGTTTTTTGACCCCTTGTAATGAGAGGCATATTGTTTTCCGCAATCGGCATTTTAAAAGAATCAAGACATATGGACCTCCTTAAATAGTGGTTCAAATGTTGCTGCACTATATTGTGTTACGGATTCTGCTTATTCCGGAGTCATAGCATGGACTATTACTTGTGTAGTCACATTTAGGCTATGACTCAACGAGGATTGGCTCCAAGGGACGCCAATCGATATTCTGTTCCATATATGGGTATCACGTAGTCGTCTTATGAATACAAAATTCCATCAAGAATATCGGCCATTCTCCTTGCAGCCGTAGAAATATACAGGCAGGATTGGAAACTACCTCATCGATTGGAGATTAAAGAATACCGAGTTGGAAACCTGGCTTCCAATCCTCCTTGGCTATAAATTAAAAAATTACACGAGACGAAACGGCCCCTCTACCGTGATTCTGTTTTATGATAGATTAGTTAGCCTTATGATCCTAAAGCATTTTGGTAGTTTGCTGTGTACACAATTGTATAAGAACCATTTCACTTGATTATAAAATACGCTGAATGGATATTTGGCTCAAAACTGAAGTACACAAACATTCAAAAGATCGCATCAACAATTCCACCTAAGAATACTACCTGTCATTTATTCTAAAAAACATAATGTTGAGGTGAAATAAAAATATGAAGGGGAAATGATCTTGAATGAACGGTTTGCTCCTTTCAAAAGTTTGGCAAACCAACTTCCCTAGTTGACGATTAAAGCCTGTTTATATATAAGGATATTAAGATTCACCATAGTCATACCCTTATAAGGTAAATAAAATCCCGTGATAAACAAGGCTTTTCATACAACCCAATGGTTAGTTAACATGACCATACTTTCGGAGGGGTGTACATTACATTTCGTCCCTGCCAGCCTCTGCTCAAAACGAATAACTACAATAGGTAAATAAACATGTGAGACTCCTTACTCAAAGTTAGTATTCATTGAATAATCTTCCTATATACACTGACAGTAAAAGTCTATCGGGACGACTTATGCAGCCTCTGCCGAATATTTCATCTTTGGTACTCTCTTGTATCGTGTGATGTATAGCTAAAGCTGCATCACATGAAGATTCTGCCTTAATTCTGTCGCGTACACCTCTTTACAATGTCAAAGCTCCTGATTTCGTTTAAACGAGTTGTACCAATAACTATTTCATCGAAAAGGGGCACATTTATCTGGGCATTCTTCGATTTCATTAGAATACAACTGTGTTTCCAAAATGAAATTATCTACATTTCTACATTTTCTAAAATTCAGATTTTGTCAGGCTCTCATATTTTGTTTCAAAAATGATTTCCTAACATTTATACCTAGACAATACCTAGACAATACCTAGACAGGCACATGTAAGGTAGAGAAACATTGTTTACACGTTTAGGCATTGTTTGATGGAGCTTCGTCGCCATCTTTACAGTGCCAACTCTGTCATTCACTTTTGGAATTGTAACTTCTGTCTGAACGTTATCGGCATTATCATGGACACTACATTCAATCAACCAGCTCTTCTCCTTTCCATGTGAATTGTATATGACCCCATAACTTGACATCGTATCTAATTGAGGGAATTCTCAATGAGGTCCGATGAGAAACTACGCATATCCCACGGGGATACAGTCTCTCGCATCACCTCGTTTACGATCCTGATTTATCATTCCGGTATGCTGCCATACGCACGACGTTTGCAGTCTCTGTATCATGATGGACGGTGCTGATTGTACTTCGGCGCAGAAGGAGCTTTGTTTCTATTCCGTACGACTCCATGTGTCGGCGATGACGCATCTATATCTGGTAACGGAGGTATATTTCTTTTGTAATTCTCCCAGAGTCCCGCGATAATCTCCGAGAGTATGATGTCACTGGTGTTCCTCTCGAGCAGACGCAGCACAAATATCCCGTCTTGTCTTAGGTATGTGTCCGCGAACGTTCGTAACATTTTCTTGTCACGTTCCCCATTGTACATTCCAAGTAACTTCAAGAATGATTTGATATACTTCGTACGTCTACTGAATACCATCAACCATATCCAAGTTAGAAAACTAAACAATGTCAGAACGGCAATGGTTAGAAACCAGAACCATATGAACAAATAGATTTTCTCATTAAATAGATTAATAGGAAGTACACATTGGACAGTATATCTGTGTACGTTAAGCCCAACTTCTCGTACTTTAAAGTCACATAGGGTGACCCTTGGGAATCTCTGAGTGGCCGTCCAATCGGATCCCTTCAAAAGGTCCCTGATAACCTGGACGCCGTATAAGGTATAGTCTGTCCCAAGGAATATATTGAGCAACAGCAATTGTCCCATAGAGTTAACTATATACAGTAGTTTTATGGCATAGTAAAGAGGCATCAGGTAGTTACCATGGCGACGCCCACAAAACAGCTTCATTTGAGCCAGTCTGTGTTTTATCTGAAATAAATGGAATTCTGACATGAATTTAAATATGAAATAATCAATTGGGAAGATGGATGTAATCAAGCGAAAATGAAATACATAAGTAGATAATTGAGTTCAATTATACGTCAATGTGTACGCACTAAAACAGATCATTATACATGTATACAACATTTGAACTATGAAGTAGTTACAAAATTGTGAATCATGAATTCCAAATTAAAGTATTTGAACAATGGTGAATCATGAATTCCAAATTAAAGCATTTGAACAATGGTGAATCATGAATTCCAAATTAAAGTATTTGCACGATTATTAATCATGAATTCCAAATTAATCAACTTCAATTGTGAATAATGAATTCCAAATTAATGTATTTCCACGATTTGAATCAGGAATTTCAAATAAAAGTACATATACAATTGAGAATCATTAATTTCAAATTTAAGTTTTTGCACAATTGTCAATCATGAATTTCGAATTAGAGTACGTGTACAATTGTGAATCATGAATTTCGAATTGAAGTGTTTGCACAATTGTGAATCATGAATTTCGAATTAGAGTAAGTGTACAATTGTGAATCATTAATTTCAAATCAAAGTACTTGCATTGCACTAAACGATAACTAATTTTGGAAAAGGGGCGTCATTAACTTAAATATTGATTCAGACTTCAAACTCTAGGTGTATACTTTGAAAGATGAGGCTGCTTTGGAATTGATGCCCTTCACACATGAGTATCTCTCTGTTTATTGTGCGCAGCTGCCAGTTAGTGATGATGCGACCAACAATTAGCAAGATCTATTACTTGTATTTCGGCTAAATAATGGAAGACTCCATGTATAACCAAGGATGATAACGTCATTCCATTTTCGCACTAAATGCCTTTGGCTACATTATGTCATACATTATTAATGATAATGTCTGTTTTTGCGTTGATTATATAATCATACATATCGTTACTGATTAAACCATATACCAACATTGGTTTGTCGGAGCCGAATGAAAGACTGCACGAGTTAAACTAAACGATAAGTACAAGTTCACAATCTAGTTAGTTATTTGGTCCGGACTGAAAATGATAACCGATACATGTTGTTGCATGATTGTGCTATTGTGTTATTGTGCTTTAGTTTCTAGATCAGCCGATAGGTGGCATCGTTGTATAGTCTCAAATAAGAAGTGAAAATAAAGTTGAGTTTTAAAATCTCCAAATTAAATCGTTTATTATTCTGTTCTAAGGTGAAATGAATCTTCTATTACATATCATAACACATGTAACTCAAAATGTTAAGTGTAAAAATCTAAATCGGGATTTTTTATAAGGTTCATTAGATGCTTCAATTTTTACCCCTACATTAAACCTCGATAAGAAAAATAAGATGAACGTTGTTCTTGGTGAAATAAAAGAGTCCGTCACATTCAAGATAGCGTCAACCTTTGTATCCATTTTCCATCCCCTTTCTCCTCCAAAGATGAGATACAATATGCTGTGGAAAGACAGATATGTTTTGTATTATGAGCGATAGGATACGTAATGCGCATGTGCAGTACCTGTAAAATATCCATCATTCATTTGTCAAAACTTACGCTCAAATGAACTCGTTGTTTCAATAATTATCTTTAGATTCTGAAAGATATATGAATATGCTTGACGATTAGGACACACATCCGGGATCGTATTATCATACAGATTATAATCGAACATATCCTGAAATGTATCATGTGAGTCTATGTGATTCAAAATGGCTTGAGAGGAAAGTGTTAAGAATTTTAGTGATGATGTTCGCGTAACAAGGGCTTATTTAGAGTGAGCAGAATGTCCGAAAAACTCAACGAAATACATCATATTCATGTCAACCTTCGAATACAACATTCTTTTATATCAAAGTATCTAAAACCAAAATGAATAAATCGATGATCTGATAACAGTTGCTATCCCCGTATAAAATTCAACATGACGTTGAGACATTCCCTCCCTTCCTCCCCTGTACTTACTTTGAAACAAAGGCCTCTACGTCTGTCCTGCCGGGAAGCCAATCCTCTATCAATACAACGGACCATGAAATCAATCATCTTGTCCCTATTGTCCGGATTGGCGTGAACATCTTGCACGGAGGACACCAAACCATTTAAGTTAATCCCACTTTTGTCGTTCAGAAATCTCCAAACGAGGCACGGAAAATAGAACAACGCTGCCTGGCAAAGCAACGCAATTGGGACCCATTGGTAGTAGCCAATTTCCTCCTGTTCGCGAAGAGCATCTTCTTTTGGGATATCGGCGTCAATAGTTGGAATAACGTATGTATTTTTAATCCAACATAGACTGTTCGCGTATTCCACGTGCGCTTCCGTAAAGCGAGTAGGTGTCCAGCATGCAATTGGGTGGCCGACGTATTGTTTTCCAGTGACGAGCACTGCGAACAGAACAAGGATGATGGTCGTGTACCTGTAGTTGAGACGGTCCACGGAGTCATCATCGCTACGTCCAGCCCAGACTGTGATGATCTTAAACGCATCGTACAATACACTCCTGAAACAGGAAATAGAAAGAATGCATCACAATATCAAAGAACTCTTGTACATTACCGTGAAATACTCTCGAAAAATATCTGATCTCAGATTGTATCCAGTTCTGGAAACACCGACTCCTGGAAAAGATGTATGATTAATTATATACAGAGACATATTCAAATGCTTGAAAAATGTATTCTGTTATCACTAGCGCAGTGTCCTAAAAACATCTTTCTCCTTGAAATAAGTTTTTAATAATAAGTTAACATAAATCCTACTTCATACAGCATTTAACTCCTTAAAAAGAAGATCGATTTTATACATATTTGATATTTTAGTGTCCATGATCAATAGAATGTCCATGAAAAACACCAGACTCTTTCAAAGAAATTTATACCAATGCGTTATTTTTAGTCCTAAACTATTTTACTCTAAAAATGTCTCATTTTATCGACTAAAACATTTGAACAAATATTACAAATAAGGTAAACGCTCTATATCTAGTCTTAAATCATTCGATTCTTTTAAACAATGAATAATACTATTTAGTTAAATGTCTCTGACAACACTCGACTCCCGAATCAGAGTATCTATACTAGAAACAATGTTCCTGTGAACATTTGACTCTAAAATAGTTACTGCTGTTGTTGGTTCAACAACATTTTCCTCACGCGTGATGGTGCATCCTCGGAACCTCTCCTATTTTATGGTTAAAACATTTGGCTCTCTCGAAAAAATTCTCATATCAATAATGATGTAATTCAATTTGCGTTTTATAGCATACGAATATGGCTATACAAGATTGTTAAACAGAATACGAAATGTAGTTTTTCTTCATTGTTTTAAACAGAACTATGACAGCAATCCCTGGGAGGCGATTGTAACAATTTGCGCCTTGTTAGCACCTTTAGAAAATTACGAGGATTCGTCAATTAGTTGTGACTCATGTTCAATTTTGCACAAAGCAGGCATTTATGTATTACATATTCAATGGTCATATAATACATATTCAATGGTCATAGAATGGACCAGGGTATCTTTGTGAAAAGGTCATCATATGAAAGAGTATTGAACCTCTTGTAAACAAACAGTCACTAAAAAAAGATACAAAATTGGGAAATGGTAAAATGACAGATAATGGCAAGGTCTTCTATGCGTACATTTTATCCAATGCGAACACAATGAACAGCATGTAACTTAATCGAAAGTGAACCAGATGTTGAAATGATAGACTCACTCAACCAGAATAATACATAATTGTATATCTAATGAAAATAAACGAAAGCACACTCATCCCCTAAATACCTCAAATAATCAGGCTATCATTTAATGGACTCGAGATCCTTTTATTAAATGAACTCTCACCTCGTTGACTTTTTGGGAAAATACAATTTTCATCTCTGCCAAATTGCAATTACAACACGGATAGAATCAATTATGATTGTGAAGCTTAGTTCGTAGGTTAACAAAAATTAGGTTTCGGCAAAATGACTTGCAAAATTTCAAAATGGCTACCACTTTTATTGTCGTTTTGGCCAAAAATCCAAATGTACATTAATTTGCTCGAGATATAACGTGTAACCCAGAATTTAGGTGAACGCTATTCTTCTTGATGTTCAATGGCTGCATCTTTTGTTGAAAGTATATCCCCATGACAACCGATTACCAAGCATAGACGCGTGTTATTATTATCTGATATCAAATTTTAAAATGAGTCAAGGTATGTACAGTTTTTTCTTTAGTTTTAAATCATTATAAAATGTAGTTCTTATATTCTCCAAAATCGATACAGATATCTTCTTATGTGAAACGCTTTTGTCATTGAACACTTTAACTGTAAATGATTACTTACTTATTTGAATTGTTAGCACCCTCTAAAATGTTTACCCCAATATCAAACATATTGGAACCTTTTCATCGTCTTACGTCTCATTTGCATTTCTTTTGACGTGCTTATGTGCATTGTTCAATTCTTCAATAAAGCAACATTTACCCCATTTTATCTCCTTTAGCATTAAACATTAAAGATAAAGAGAAAATGTCAGATATAATACTTAAGACAAAAGATGGAATGTAACTGGTGGCACCTGGTATATTATGATTTTTGTTTTCCAAGAGATTCCAGTCAATTTAACAGTTCAAACATATATCGACCCGACCTTTCAAGGCTTATTTAACATGGAAACACATCGCAGTTTGTTACATTAAACACATAAGAGGGTAAGGTCACTTTCAGAACACCCAATGTTAATAAGGATATCCAAACAAAGGTCATCATGACTTTCAATAACACTTGAAATTGAGTTCTTTTTCTTTTTATAGAACTTCTAAATGTTTAATCAACTGTTGCCCATGATTATCATGTAATAAGCTTTATAACCCTTGACTATATTTCACAACCCATTGACTTATTAATCATAACATGCTAGCGTACCTGTCGCCCTCGATTTTATTAGATGTATCAAATATACCATACACTGCCCCAGCTATAAATAATTAAAGTATGTGCTGTCCAAAATATGTGATGCTTCTCAACAAAATATGGACAGTGAACTGGATGTTAGGTATAGAGTGTCGAAGCGTTGATATAAAAATCACTTTTAATTCTGAGATTCGTCATTCATTGATATCCTTAACTTGAGCTTGAACCGGTAGCCATCTTGGAATACGGCAGCCCCTTGTGGCATACTTGAATAATCAAAAGTATGTATATGTTAAAATTATACTCATTACGCATTTTGCCCCTATTGTTCCAGTATTGGACGTATCAAACATCCATTATGAAAATCGTACATGTAACACGTGACTTAACACGTGAGATTATCATGACATAATTAATATTGACTTATTGAAATATTACATAAATAATTTACACATTTAACATTTAAAATGATACACTAATTATATGATTTCAAGATAGTACTAATAAACCTCATTTATTATTCACTTTCCCGATTTTCGTAAAGTGTAAGGATTACATTCAATACACCAGTTATTGAAGATGATTTACGTGTAAATAATTTGAATTATTAGTAACAAACTTAATTAATACAATTTTTCCGCGTTAAGTGCAATTTAAACTTTGCGCATGCGCAGAACAAAAGCACATCATCCTACAATATAAAAATTGTAAAACATGCTTTTTATCTCCACAAATCGATACTGCGACGCTCTTGTATTACAGAGACTTTTTTATACTTTGTTGAAAATGTTTTTACTTACTTAGAGTTGTTAGCACCTTCTAAAATATTTACACCAAGTTCAAACATATTTGAAGCTTTTAATCGTCCCGCGCCACATTTCCGTTTTGTTTGACGTGATTTTCTATGCTTTGTACTACGCCTACGTAAAGGAGTCCAACTTTCAGAGTCCCTTTCGGGACCGTAAGTGTCAAAGCCACTTAGTTCAGTAAGTTCTACTTTTTCATTCGGAATAACAATCTCCGGAAGTTGATGTTTTGGGATTTCAAGCTCAGATGAATGTAGGTATCCCTCCGCCTGAAGTCCAGATGGTGCACACTCCGGCTCATTAACGACATCAAAATGTAAAGGCACTTGAAATGTAGTGCGAGTTTGTGTCTTATTAGTCCTATCTATGGGCCATGTTCCAAAGGAATCACTGTTGATTTCGCTACCACTACCTGCATCTCGATTACAGTTTATCTTTCCATGTTGTTTTTCTGGTGATGTTCCATTAACTAACTTATATTCAGATAGTAAAGGAGTGCCAGAATTACTCTGTGTTTTTCCCACGAACGTATTGCTTCCTCGATTTAAATCTCGTTCACTATTCCAACTTTTTCTATTTAAAGTGTTTTCAGTTTGTCCGATGTTTTGCAGACCCGACAGTCGACCATCACTATTCCAGTTGCGTTCCCTTGCTACTTCTCCCGAACCCCCATCATGGCCGTCTCGAGATTTAATCCTTGTCATATTCGTAATATACTTGACTTAAGACATATCTTTAAATTAGATGATTCACTTACATTTACAAGTTGCCTCCATATATTTCGCGTCCATTATTATAATGATTCCCGGGTTAATCACGCTGGTACGTCACGGCCAGGCGGCAAGTTATATTCCCTTATGGTATTAAAAATTAATAATTATATAGAGAGGCTGGAAATTACTTAGGACTATCATTAGGTGTTCTAGAAACAGATCCAGATCTCTGTCAAATAAATGGCGATATTCTAAGTAGCCGTCTAACGTTTAAACGGGTCATGTTGAATTTCCGGATTATGGGCAGATGGATCCGACATTCCGTGGTGATACTAATTACGAATGCCGTCTCGAGATGTATCAAAACTTTAATTACGTTTGCTGCAAATAATGATTTCTAAAATGTCATAAATTCTCAGAGATCGCACTCCATTATGGTATGAGCATTTAGAACCACTTCACCAAATTGATCAAGTCAATTTATCTTTCAGATAAGTTCGTTTATATAATTCAGTTCCTTGTAAATCACACTCGCGTCTGTTGTTGCGTTCCTTTTCTTTTAACGGAATTGCCTCGTAGTCATATCGGTAATAATGTTATCTCCGGATAAGACATTCTTAAATATCCCAATCATTTTTTCTAAATTGGATCTATTTAATTCCTAGTTTACCTGAATCATATTCCGTGATTTTCTAAGTTGCGATTCATTTGATCAGTGAATCTCTAGAGACACTGTCCACTTTCATTTTTTCCTGATTTGTATGCACGACTCGAACAAACGGGACTCGGGACAAGTTAGTTTCGCCTCGTTGGTCCCAGAACAAATATGACCAACTTGTTAGGATCACGTCGGTTTGGATTAGTATCCCGTGAGTCGTGTAAAATGGGGTATATAGCTGTAAGATAAACGTCGGAAATCTAGACAAAATCTGAAAAACAATTTTTTAGATCTATCAATTCCTCTCGGGTGATTTCGGAATACTCCTCACATTTCTTACTTACAGATAACACTTCTAGTATACGGATACGAAGCAGAATCGCAAGTCCAAAGATATTGAATTACATCAAATCAGATTTGGTTAGATTTAAAGGGATTTAAACCTCAAGGGTGATTTATATGTGCTTTAATGATTGGTTTGGGATTCAGAACAAGATCTGGTCATGTGTTCTAGAATGTTTTAGCATAGTTCCAAATAACGTCCTTATAATCCTCGTGTTTGTGAAAAGTAAATACATGTACGATTGCAACTTTTCATTTCCGTAATTGTCAAACCATTTCATGAATCCCAAAAATTATGTATTATCGATCAATCACATCGAATCGATAATTTTTTAGGTTGAATGAATAAAGAATACTTATTTTGGTAGTATTTTACATCTATTAAAACAATATCCAGCGACCAATTCAATTGTTGACAATGGATGGATCAAAAGTACCTATTTTAGTTGCATTTTTGTACTGTAAAAACAAGACCGAGCGAACAATTCAATAATCTAAAACTAATTGTTTATCCGTAATCCCAAGATGTTCGCATTTCCCAATTGATGCAATATAAATAACCCGACAAGAGCCAGGGGACAAAACTTGTTACATCGTGTTATGCTTTTGATAAATGAGGTTACAAAACTAATGAAACTCAACATAAAATCATAATTGAATTTGCCTCTATAGTACTGACTGTAGCTTGACACGCTAATCGCTCTGCCCTAATCCCAAATTGGAATTATATCTTGCGATCGAGGTGATATTTTTGATTATCTCCGCGTGATATTAAAAGATGCGTTTGTTTTTTAATATTACACTCTGAATTATTCAACGAGATCTTGCCATGCGTTGCATTGTTTGAAGATAAACTGTTGCAAGCTTAAGTTTTTTAGATCTAAAGTATGTTTGCCGGACATGCATGAATGACTGATTCGTATTCAATACCAGATGAAACCAATGTTTTCAGTCTAACACGTCTAAAAGAACATCGTATAACAGACACCGTAGTCTTTACACCTGTCCGCACAATGTATGTATTAAATCTACACTTTCTCTCAAAAATTATAAACATTAATCTTCATGTTTTTGTTTATATCATAATGTTTAATACCATAAGTTCACGTTATTTCTCGATTTTTCACACTGTTTGTATATTAAAGCGAGGGGAAAGGTGATTCGGAGATTTATGAGGGGTAATGATTTATCTTCCCGTACTCTTCCCCAGCAGGTGATGACGCTAACATTGTTGTTACATAAACAAACATCAACAGCTTTATCTTTACATCCTCTTGACATGGGGAAGTAGTAGCGCAATATGGCGTACCGACTCACTAAAATGATCCCAGAAAAACTGAACACAGTCAGAGTCTGGATCAACTAACACGACGTATTTCTCCGAATCTCGAACATCACGAAATCAACTATGGAAGTATAATCGTGACTTGTTTAGATTGTATTTTTGGTTGCAACTTCGATATTTGTTTCCAATCAATCAATAGATGCCGCCGTGTATATAGCAGAACCGTCAGAAGAGGAAGTTTGTGTATCCAATATCTCAACGATGAGTTGGTTGTCTTGATAGAAAATCATCACACTAAAGCAAATAGTCATTGACGTGTTTTCCCGATTAATCCAACACTGATTCATACAAATTGAGTGAAATTATAGCCGATAAATTTAACAATAGACTTTCCCTGGCACGATCTGCTCCAGTGTATATACTTTTAGCCTGGTACATAATTTTATTTTATCCCCGTGAGTTCTAAGCTTCTGATAATGCTGATTAAATCTATAAATGTAGTAATTCATACTATATTAATGTAATACCAAATGTAATTGAAATTATATGTTTATGAATATCTGAAAGGGTGTGTGATTTTGAATAAATGTCTATAGTTGATTACTAAAGTAATGTACTATGATCGATTTTTTCATTAAAATTATGTTCAGCAACGCAATGTGTTCGATGCCTATTTTGAATTTATTAATTAGATTTTATAGATATATGATTAGACATCTCCCATGCAAATACCAATAAATGCAAATTCTATACATACTGAGTTAACAGTCTCTTAATGTGAATATAGTATTTGATATAATTCTTCTTACCAGTGAACAGTGTTTAATAATTAGGATTATTTTTGTATTGTGCAGAGTTTTTGTTGAGGACAAACATCATTCTTAAGAAGGGGGAAGTGTTGCGTATTTCATTACAAGGTCATGCCGTATTATTCCATGAATGAATATCCCTGGTTGTATAAAATGCAAAATGTAAAAAGATCTTCAACTATTTTCTGAGACTGAATTTCTTCGCACCAAGTGTTGATCGCTATTTAAGCTCAATCGATTGGAACAAGATTACAAGATAATACAAACTAACTAAGTGAACCCGTAAAACTTCATCAATCAGAAATTTAAAGTTTATTTCTCAAATTGGATGATAGCATTGTCTACAAGCGACAGTTTTAATCAATGACGACGCTTTGTTCCGAACAATGGGAACGTCTATGCAATATGCCAGGAGTTAAGAAATTGAAGCTACATTTCATATTTTTGTATTTGTCTGGAACTTATTATGCTAACATTTCTCATTCTATGCATCAATCGAAATTGCATTTTCAATCAAAACAAAATAATAATGACATCGTTTAAATGTGAAGAAAATCAATCAAAACGTAACTCAATAGCCATTGTGCATATTGTACTTTCAATCAAGGATTGTTTTATTTTGACAGTCTAAATAAATACAGAATTGAGGAAATGTGGACGTTCATTTATTCAGATGACAGACCTTTTATGAATCAAATTCAAGAATATTCAATTACCTTGTTTTGTAAAAGCATCCGCTTTAAATGATGCGTCAATACATGACATCCATAATTGTAGATTTTAAAGTGGACTCCTCTTGTTATATGATTTATATATTTACATATATCTGCGAATAACAAGAGGGTACTATTATCCGAATGCAATTGCGATATTTTCTAGGTTTATAGATTTAATGTTTGACAGAGTTCATTTGGAATACAATTTCAAAATCATATTTTAATTTGATTGTATGAAGTGTCCCGATACAACTTTGAAACAAAACATGAAACATTCCAACGATACGCAATCGCAGCCATGAGCAGAACTCTAAATGAAAATAGACATTTCTATTGACAATTCCCAAAGGTATATTTTAAAACCCTGATTGCCATTTGCACTTGGTTAACAGCACCTGAGTCCTTCATCTCCCATTCTATAAGTAAAATTCAGAGAACACGCTTAAGACAATGAACGTAAAACAAACGAGATATTTTAGCAAGTTACTCTTTCTAAATGTGTTTCCTGGGGTCCTACCTCGAAATAATAAGATACGGTGTTTTGATTTATATAAAGAGATCTTTCAGTTCATATATGGCCCACGTTCTAGCCTGGATGCATAGCTGACACTAATATTATATCACAGCGCTAATTGATATGGCCGTGAGTCAACGAATTATAATGTTGCGTAAACGGGATATTTTTAAAAAGTTAGCTAAGTCTGTTTCCTGGAGGTCCTTCTTCGAAAAAGTAAGAGACGAAGTTTCAATTTATATATCAATTCAAATATAGCCATTTTCCTAGCTTGGGAGCATCCTTCTAATACTGACGCTTGTGCTTCGCCAAATAATAGCGAGTATTGTCATGGCCAAATTAGTGTTCCGTGAATGCAACATTTCAGAAGCTTTGTGTCGTTTTTGAGATTCTACCTCAGAAAGGTTCGTTAAGAGGCGTATGCCATTTCAGTTTACAACATATGGAACCATCGTCCTAGCCCTAGGGTAAAGTATTCTCTTTTGAATGATTAACAAGTACGTCGGTTTTTACATTTGTTGCTGATTTATTGCAAGTTGGTCTTGTATGCAGCTTAAATCGAGATCAGTAGGCCGGGGTTTTCAAAAAGCATATAAGAAATGAAAAGGGTTACATCAAGGTCTTCCTAGCATGCAGAAACACCTTAACTGCGTTTTGGGTAACAGTGATAATAATGTTCATAATGATAATACAATTTTAGTTCTATTCCTTCACTGGAGGTCATATTCGCCCTCATTACAACTTCCATTATCACATCTGCCTAATTGTCTGATATAACATGGCTTCTCTGAGTTCTCATTCGCTAGAAAGTGACAATGCGTACCTATCTATGTGTAACAATGAACACCTATCTATGTGTAACAATGCACACCTATCTATGTGTAACAATGCACTTAACAAAATGCATATGTCAACCATTATTTCATAATTATAGACCAAAGTGCTAAACGAGCTGTGCCATAAATTCAAACAAATCAGGCCATTTGGGCATACTATATGAAACAGGACCT